GCAGCAGGGCTGGCGTCTCTTCCCACTGTGATGTCTTCCCACGTGGGCCGGCTGCCTCAGCTGTGCAGGGGCCGGCCTCCTTGGAGCAGAGCTGCCCAGTGCCTGTGGGTGCCTGCAGGTGCTTGGTAAACAGCCAGGTCCAGGATTCTTTTTTTTTTTTTTTTTTTTTTTTACACTCCAGGCTGGAGTGCAGTGGCTTGATCTCAGCTCACTGCAGCCTCCGCCTGCCAGGCTCAAGTGATTCTCCTGCCTCAGCCTCCCGAGTAGCTGGGATTACAGGTGTGCACCACCACACCCAGCTAATTTTTGTATTTTTAGTAGAGACGGGGTTTCACAGTGTTGGCCAGGATGGTTTCGAACTCCTGACCTCAGATAATCCACCTGCTTCAGCCTCCCAAATGCTGGGGTTCCAGGTGTGAGTCACCGTGCCCAGCCCCAGACTGCTCTTAAAATCATCCCAGGACACAGATGGGGGTCAGGCCGGCCTCACTCACGGGAGAGGTCCCAGAGGGAGGTCACAGAGCCCAGGCCCACAGAGCTGGGGGGCTGCTGGGTCCCCTTCCCACTGCAGGACATGCAGCAATGCTGGAGTCTGGGGCAGGGTTCCCCGCACCCTGAGGCTCACGTAGCCCGCCCAGCCTGGTTCAGCATGGTAAGTATAGCTCAGGCTCCGGGGAAGGGCGGAAGTGGACAGGCAGTGCCCTGGGGCTGCACTCCTGAGATCTGTTGGTACCTTGGAAAGGTTCTCTGCTTGCTGTCGTCTGCGTGTGCCCCGTAACACTGGAAGGAGTGAAGAGGATGTAGAGAAAAGTACTGCGTTTTCCTTTTCCCTCCTTCTGAAAGGCCTGGGCCCTGGCATCTCTGTCCCCATGCCCGTGGGCCACAGCTGTGTGCTGGCGCTCCCCGCCCTGCCAAGATAGAAGCAGTCTCCGTGTTTCAGGCAGTGAACTGGGCCTCTTGAGATACGTGCTGTAAACGCTCCTTTATCCGGACATCCCGGCCCTCGGTGCCGTAAAGCTTCTCTTCCCCGCTAGCTGGCCTTTACGTAATGAAGCACAATGTATTTTTATTCTGTCCTCTTCACAGCTGCTTCCTGTGATTCCAGGAGGAGGCAGGTGTGGGGCTAAGGTGGTGAGGGGGTAGCTGTTCAGGCACCAGCGTCGTGGATGCCTTTGGCCCCCTGCGACGCCCCACTGGGCCAGGCCCTAGGCAGCCGCCGCCGCGTCCTCTCTGACTCCCACTTGAACACCTGCTGTTCTTCTTCCTCTCTTGCCCCTCACCGAGGCCTTGAGAGCCCATCAGCACCAGGCCTGTGCCCCTTCGTCCCTGCAGGGTGGTAGCAGGGGTCCCAGAGGTGTGGAGGAGGCGCCCGAGGAGGGCCGGTGTCCAGGCAGAGGGGAGCCGCTGCTTCCTAGGCAGGTGCTCCTGCTCCGTGTGGCCAGAGTTCAACATCCCCGGGCAGGGAAGGCGGGAGCCAGGGCTGTGGGTGGGCTGGGCTCAGGGCCTCCTTGCGGTTTGGCTCTAAGCCTGGGGTGACCCTGGAGGCCAGCAGGGAGGGCCTAAAAGCCTTGGTGGGGCCACCCCAGAGAGCAGGGCTGCAGAGCTGGGCTCCGTCCCTGAGCACCCCTGGCACCGCAGGCCTTGAGCACACAGCAGACCGGGCTGGGCGGGAGACGGGGTCCTGGAGTGCTGCAGGCCACACCACTGCCTCGCCTCAGCCCATGCACTGCTGTCGCAGGTCGGGCCTGAGAACAGCCTGGGCGGTGCCTCTGCGGTCCCAGGGCCAGGGTCGGGCACAGAGCTGTCGCCTCTCACCCTAAGGGTCTCGGCCACTGGCTTCTGGGGTCTCTGAGAGGAGCTTGCCCAGGATCCAGGTCCACAGAACCCCATCCAGAGGAACCCCGGGCTCCTGGCTCACTTGGGAGGAGACCATGTGAGAGCAACTGGCAAGAAAGCGATGACATCTCCAAGACGGAAAACCCATCTTTTATTTATTTTATCCAAACCATTGTGTGAATTATTCATTCACATTTATGTAAGCCACTGAATTACAGGGATAAAGGGGGGTCAGAACGCTGGCTTGATCTGCCCCAAGCTGAACCGACTCCGTCGAGGCAGCCTTGTCTGGAGGGTGGACCTTTCCCTACCTGGACTGGAGACCAGGGTGAGGGCCCCCTCGCTTCCGAGGGTCTGTGTGGCATGGAGGATGGACCCTTCCCTACCTGGACTGGAGACCAGGGTCAGGGCCCCCTCGCTTCCGAGGGTCTGTGTGGCATGGAGGATGGACCCTTCCCTACCTGGACTGGAGACCAGGGTCAGGGCCCCCTTGCTTCCGAGGGTCTGTGTGGCATGGAGGATGGACCCTTCCCCTCCAGGGCCCTGGGTTTGGCTGTCAGAGGGCAAGAGAGTGGCCCCAGGAGTGAATGCGGCGGCCCCCGCTGCTCCCAGCCGCATGGGTGGTGGTCTCGCCTCTGAGAGGGGGCCCCACACACCACCTTCCTCACCCTGGGACCTCATGCCAACCTGCCATGGGTGGGCCGTGCAGCCCGGAGCCCCGGAGCTCCCAGAGGTCTGTGAGCGGCACAGGCGGCTGTGAGGTCTGTCGGAAACCAGTGTTCTTTCCTCCTCCAAGGTCAGGCTGCATTTATTACCAAAATCTAATTCTTCCCTTCGGACGTCTGAGATCTATCAAAGGCAGCATGGGCCGTGTGAGGGTGAAATATGGCCTCTGAAACGTGGTCTCTGCATTCTTCCTTCCGCACGTGGGAACTCCTGCTACCGACGGCCCCGTCTTCGGGAGGGTCAGCCGAGGGACGCAGGGAAGAATATTGGGGTCAGAGCTGCCAATTAACCTTCAGATTTCGTCGCCTGATTCATCAAGGGCCCCAGGCCTCCTCCCGCCAGAGGGGCGGGGCTGTGGAATAACAGCATCCCCCAGGGCTGTCTTTGCTGGTGACGGAGGGAGGAGGCCAGGTCGGGGCAAGGGCCGAATCAGTGCCGAGGCTGCCATCCCACAGGTGGACGGACACCAGGGCGCCTCCGCTGACAGGCCCGCGGTGGTACAGGCCCCGTCTCCTCCCAGTCCCTGACATCCGGATGCCACTAACATGGGCCCTGCACTGCTGCTCCTTCCAGAGCCCATGGCAGGCGCCGCCCTTGCTCTTGCAGCCAAGCGGCGAATCTCTGTGAGCCTGAGTGTCCTCGTGTGTGGACTGGGGATTGGATTGTGTTCGTAGCTGTCACAGCCAGGCGGTGAGTGCATTTGCACACGGAACGGGCCGCTCGACTGAGCTCACGCCGTCAGGGGTGCCCAGCGGCCCTGCACTCTCGGCAGTGGCCTCCAGTGCGTGATCTGGCTCGCCGCGTCTGAAGGCAGCTCCCTGCCTGTGTCCGTGTTGCAGACAGAGGACCTGGGAGATGGGGTAAAGGGGTAGGTTCGGGGTCACAGATCGGGGAGGCAGAGCCGAGCTGGACCCGCGGCCCCTCCCGCATTCTCCATCTTCCTCTGAAGACTTGAGGGCTTCTCGTTTGCACTTGGCTCCCCTGTCCCTGATCATCTCCAGGAAGCAACCTGGACTGCATCGTCTGCCTTAAACTGGCCCATCAGAGCCTCTTCTGGCCGCTGTGCACAAACTCCCCGGCAGCCCCTCTCACTCGCTGTGACCTGGCCAGCAGGGACTCACACGTGTACCTTTCCTCACACTCCCCCAGAGCGGGCTGTGGGGGACCCCACCCCCATCCTGGGGCCTTCAGACTCATCTCTAACTCAGGACCAGCCTTCCCCCGGGCACTGCCTGGGGTTGGAACCCTTGTTCTCTCCAGCCTTGTGGCTGTGGTTGACTTTCATGTCCTCTTTCTCCGCCCCGCCCGGGATCTGACCATCCTGTGCCTGGATGTGGCTGCCTGCACCAGTCCTGTGACTCAGCCCCTTGTCATAGTGGAGGGAGGCTGGCAGCTGGCCCAGTTCTTGTGACCTGCAGGATAGGGTCCAGTGGCTCCCGGCCCTGCCTGGAGTGGTCCCAGCCCCTGGAGGGCTCCCCAGCCCCAGCTCCAGACAGCCCTGCTGGGAAGCACCCGGCCTAGGGGATGGCTCTGTGTGCATCTAAGTGGAGCCAGTCCTAATAATTAACGGTGGGGATAAATCGAGGTTTAATTACTTGGAAGGCCTTTCGGGTGAGAGATTCATGATAATCGCTGTTATCCTCCTGATGGCTCTGCTCAGCAGTTCCTCCCCAAGCAACCGTAAACCCTGGCGGCGGGGGGCGGGGGCGGGGCGCGGGACTGTACCCTGAATGGTCACTTAGAGCCCTGTTGGGGACAGTGGGCCTGGGGTGCCGGCTCTCGTCTCACGAGTGACCTGGCCTCAGAGGTGGCTGGCAGGTAAAGCCCCGGGGCAATAGGATCCGGAATGTCCAGGTGGCTTCCTGCCTGCCTCCCTGTTTCCCGGTGCTGGCTCCTGCGGAGAAGGCGTCCAACCCCAGAAAGGACCCAGGCAGCAGCCTGGGAACAGATGGTCAGGATCACTGGGTGGTGTGGCAGCCCAGGCCTTCACGTTGGGACCCACATCCTCAGCAGCAGCTACTCTGCAGGTTCTCACCTAAGTCGCTGGAGCGTTGGGGCAGGTGCGCCCGAGTCATGCCTGATCCTGTGGCTTCCTGGCAGTGACCAGTTGGGTCCAGGTGTTGTCATTCTGCCGGCTGAGGGCTGGTCCCTGTGGAGGGGCCTGGGCTGCTCGTAGTCTGGCTCTCAGAGTTACCATTCTGAATGCAGTAACTTTATTATCACCACCACCAGAGGATCAGCCTTTATCAGCTCACCCCTCACTCTCGTTCTCTCATGCGTGCCAATGGAGGCTGGCTGGTGTGACACGGGGCCTCCTGTGTCCCTGGGCAGCCGCCACTCCCGCCTGCACTCAGCCTCCTCCCTGCCCCGGCCACTCCTGGTTCCCCACCCTTCCGGCCTGGTGCTGCACTCACTGTCTCCTTCCCTCCCTCCCGCAGAGCTGAAGAAGCAGGTGGAGAGCGCCGAGCTGAAGAACCAGCGGCTCAAGGAGGTTTTCCAGACCAAGATCCAGGAGTTCCGCAAGGCCTGCTACACGCTCACCGGCTACCAGATCGACATCACCACGGAGAACCAGTACCGGCTGACCTCGCTGTATGCCGAGCACCCGGGCGACTGCCTCATCTTCAAGGTGGGTCCTGTGTGCGACTGCTCTCTGGCTGTCTGTCTCCTCCCATGGGGAGATCCGACCATAGCCCTCGGCAAAGGAGCAGCTCTGCGAAGGGGATGGTGTGGAGGGCCAGGCGGGAAGGAGGTTCACTGGGCTGTCCTGAGGCTTCACCTCCTGAGGCTTCACCCCCTGAGGCTTCTCAGCCTTGGGCCAACCCTATGTGGCTTTGCAGCCCTGGACCCTCTGGGTGTGGAAGGCCCTGGGCCGCTCCCCCGACTTTCTCGGCCTCTGTCTGTCGCAACTTGGGCTTCGTTCCATAAGGGCCGTGGCCACAGGCGTGTCAGTGTGTTCAGCGGCAGCAGCGCCTGGGGAGGACTGAAGTCCATGTGGGGCCGGGGCAGGGGCGCCTTCCAAGCCGCTAGGCTGCGCGGCGGGACAGCAGCCAGAGGCCAGCGCAAGGCGAGGTAGACAGACTAGAAGAGGAAAGGAGAGCCGGGAGCCGGCCGCATCTCCACACCCTCGTCCTGTGAGCCAGCAGGCGCTCTTCTGGTTTGCTGGTACAGCAGGACTGGGTCCACCGTTGTGGACATGAAGAGTCCTCGGGTGAGCAGGGTCTGGTAGCAGAAATCGAGGTGTTACATGTTGACCCTGAGGGTGGCGGTGGCCCCACGTGGACCTCCAGCAGCTGGAAACCCAGGGTGACAACGGCTTGTTCATCACTGCCCCAGTGAGCTAACCTCCCGTTTGTGAAGATGGTGCCGTCGGCCTGGCGTGGCATTGTGGCCCCGTCTTGGCATGTGGCTGCTTCGGGAAGGTTGGGGGGGGCGGTGGCTGTGGGAGATCAGGACAGGCAGAGACGGGCCCCACCTGGGACTGCTGTGGTCTGGAACGGGCGTCTAAACCGCCTGCAGTCTGCAGCCTCTGCGCGTCTTCATAGAACCGAAAACCAACTTTGATTTGTACAAAAGCTGTACCCAGCGCGGCCTACACATGTCCGCCAGCCTCTCACAGCAGCGAGTCGCTGCCTGTCTGATTCAGCCTTAGCCCGGCGGTTCCTCCTCCTCCCGCACAACCCGCCTGTCTTCACAGCCTGCGCCACTCTGGGGCCCTGCACCGGGCTTGCTCTGCGCTCCTTCTGGATTTCCTGCTTCTCAGATCACATTCATCCATTTCTACACGCGTGAAAGTCTCAAACCTTTGAATAATAAAAACACACCAAGTCTTTAAATAAGCTATCAGAAATGTACTTCTTCACTTTTGTATAATTCTGTATACTTTGAATAATTCACAGAGGTGTTTAATGCATTATAGAAATTCCATGGGTTTTGAAAATGATTAGTATTAATAAAGGCGTATCACGAACCGTCATCACTTAACACATCACTTGTTACATCAACATTTACAAATTAAGAGGCGGCGTTTCCCCGGATCCCTGCGTGGGCTGTAGTTGAAGCAATGATCTTAGGAGGACCAACTCCAGCGGAACCTTGGGGCGCCCTCCACAGTGTTTTCTATTTAGAGAGTCGAAAATTCCAAAGAGGGAAGCAAGCCAGTCGTCATCCTCCCGCGAAAGGCAGCCGCCGTCCCGCTTTGCTGTTTCCTTTTGGTGTTCTATACATAGGCACGTATGTAGGCATGTTCCTTTACACCTGGGAACTCAGGATCCTGGGGTTCCATTGTGTGTGCTCCTGTGTTACTTTTAAAAAACCCCGTTAGCAAGAAGTTCCTTGGCCCCTGTCAGCCCCGTGTGGGCTTCTGAAGCACACCCCTGCCCGGTGTCCTCAGGTTTGCTGGACACCAGGTCCATCCCCGTCATACCCTCGAGCACGGGCCCTGCCGCTCTCCCTGCTTGAGCCGGCATCTCAGCTCCCTCGGCGCTCATCCCGCCCGCCCGGACCCCGGCCGTGGCAGGATGTTGAGAGCAGAAGGCTTGGGCCGGCCTCAGCTTGCCAGTGGCCGGACCTTCAGCCCCCGTGGCCTGTACGGGAACCCCTGCCGTCCTCCCTGCCTTGGAGCCCTCTTAGCCCCCAGGCTCCTGAGGTCAGGGAGAGGCAGGAAGGGGGCCCCAGGAGGAGGAGGCAGGCAGCAGAGAGCCCAGGAGCTGGCCAGCTCGCCCCAGGCCTGAAGGACACACAGCGTACAGGAGGCCTGGCTTGCCCTGAGGAGCCGCAGCTCCTTCAGGGATCTGGCCTGGCCCCTGCAGCTCTTGCCAGGTGTCCCGCCTCCCTTCCTAGACCCTTGTGATCTGGAGCCTTGGCGCCCTCCCAGGCCACCCCCTCACTGCCCATCCTCCAGCCCTTGCTGTCCCTTCTTTCCAGTGGCAGGCCTGGCCTGACCTGCCTTTCTGGACCACAGCCTGTCCTGGCCCAAGGCCTGTGTGAATATGTCTTTGCAGGCCCTGTGAGGGCTGGCTGTGCTGGGTCAGGAGGCACGGAGCTGAGGCAGCCGCCTCCGGAAAGACAGATGGGCCACTGGCCCAGCGCTCCACCAGCAAGGCCTGGTGCCCACAGTGGCCCTGCTCCCCACCCTCCCGGCTGCCCACCATGCCTGCTCTGGGCCCTGTCCTGGGGGCTCGCACGGTTGGACAGTGTCAGGGAATGAGGTTGCTTTCAGCTGACCCGCTTTCCCCGTGTATGACATGCACTCTGTTTTCATGCTTGAAGCTCACAGGATCGGGGAGATTAAGAAAAGGATGGAAGGGCTTTACAAGTTGGTGTTTGCAGGCAGGGCTGAGAGCCCTGGGGTGGGCCTGGCAGGGGGATCTCTGGGCAACCCAGGCAGAGGGCTGACTGAGGTGAGCGTGTGGGCTGGTGCCCAAGCACAGCTGTTGCCAGCGGGGTGCCAGCTGGGTCTCTGCCTCGTCTGTAAAGCAGGCACAGTTACGTCTGACCCACAGGAGTAAGTGGGGCCATGTTCCTGGCACACCGTCATGGTTGCCGAGACCCCACCTTGGTCCATCATTTCCATTTCTGAGCAGTGAAGTCCCCACAGGCAGAAGCTGCCAACTTGTGCCTGCGTTTCTCCCTGAAACCCCAGCACCAAGGCCCACTGGCTCCGTCCTCTTCACCTGGGCCCAGCTCGCTTGTAGACGCCTTCTCCAGGAAGCCCTCCTGGGTTCCTCAGACGTGGGACCCCTTCTTCTGCTGGCTCCCCTCCTAGAACACCTGCCACCTTGTGCTTTTCCTGACAGGCAACTCTGCCAGAAGTTTTATTCTGTTGGGTTAGTTGTCCCTTGAGGGTCCCCAGGGGGCCTAAGCGTGCCCCTCTTGTGTTTCTCCCCCACTGCTGGGTGCCTGGTTTTTAAAGATGCTTCTTGCTCCATTTCTCTCCCAGGCTTCCTTTCACAGCCTCTTTCCCCTGGCCTCACCCAACCCCCACCCTCTCCTCCTGCTTTTCCTCCTCCCTCTCCACTCCTTCCACTCCAGACTCTGTCCTGCCCAGCCCACATGCCCTGCTGGCAGCTGTGCCCAGCACCCCACTCGCCCCCTCCCCCTTTGGAGGGCTGGGGCCTCCCAGACCTTCCTGCGCCCCATCTGATTGACGTGGAAGGATCTCCTGCTGGAAGAATCTGGGCCTCTAGAGCATGTTCATGAGGGCTGACACTGGGCACACAGCCTCACCTCCCCGAGTCTCAGTCCCCTCACCTGTTGAGTGGAAGTAACTGCGGCTCACTTCACAGGCTGTAGGAGGCGAGTCTCATAAGTGTGACCCGTAGAGCGGTCATGTTGCACCGGGATCCCTGTTGGCTGGTTCAGCTCCAGCCCATGGTGCACCCGTGCTTCTCCCAGAGCTGTGATCCTACAACCCTGCCTGCCATCCCCAGAGCCACAGGATAGCTCTGCTGGCCCTCGCTCGGCGTCCTGGTCCCTGCAGACCCTCTGGACGACCTGCAACGCTCGAGCTTTCAAAGACTCCCTGTGAGCCTACTTCCCGAGTCCTCCGAGCTGCCCTTCACTGGGCGAGGCCATCGGCCTCCTGAGAAATCCTCCCCCTTGGGTGCCAAGAGCTGCCGTGTCCTCTGGCAGGAGCTCTGACCACGAGACCAGCGTCGGTCCTGCCCCATCCACCTGTCATTCCTGCCTCCTTTGTACCCAGGACACCAAGCTTGGTGACAGAAGAGGCACTCGTGCTGTTCACGGCTGCCCCACACCCCCAGCTCAGGGCCTGGCTTATGGAGAGGGCGCTCTAGGGCTCTGCCAGACAGACAGAAAAACAGGTTTCAGGGGGGAAAAAGGGAAGAGATAAACAGCAAACAGACAGCAGCCAACCTGTAGGGCCAGGGCTCATGTGGGCACCTCTGCCTGCAGATGGTCACTGACTCGTTGGGGCCATGCAGCGGTGGCCCCAGTCTCCACTGTCCAGAGGAGAGAGAAGAGACACTCTGGAGTCACCTTGTCCTGACCAGCTTCTGACCCGGGTGTGCAGCCTTGGCAAGGCCACTGCGCTCCCGTGAGAGTCAGTTTCCCCATCTCATGAGGAACGTGGTCTGGGTGCTCCCTGGGGGCCCTGACCCTGGTCTCCTGGCTTCAGAAAGGCACCCCCAGGGCACTGAGCATCACGAGGTGCACCCAGAAGGGTCTGGCCCAAGCTGCCCAGGATGGTCTGCCCCAAGCTGCCCTCCTGAGATAGGGCCATGGAGGGCAGAGGCCAGTGTGGGAGGGCAGGGAGAGCAGGGAGATAGGCCCCCCTGCCTCACCCTACCCCACCTAGGGGCGGGCATCCGTGGCTCCTGTGTCCCTGAGAGATCTCGCCAAACCCCAGCCTCCTGGCCACGTCATTCATTTTATCTGATTTTCCCCCAAATGATTCTTCGGGCAGAAAGGGGGCTGCAGACGGAGTTAGAAATAGCCAAGCCTGTTTCCAGTCGAGCGGGTTCCACAGATGTGTGCTGGGATAATTGAGGGTTTGCCACACCGTCCCCCGCCACTTCGCCGAGGAGAACAGGGCTTCCCGTCCCAGCCAGGACCGAGCCTCTTGTTGCCGCGTGGGTGGAGGGAGCTGCCTGCCCGGGCTGCCGTTTG